AGCTGTTTCCAGTAAAGTTCCGTGGTGCATCCTCATATCCAAGGCCAAGTGTAAATGCAAGTACGACAGAAGACTGCCGAGGCGAGCGGTTGAAGGGCACACGAAGGCTTGCCAGCTCCAACCCTCCTGCCCGTCCTGAGCGGCCCCAGTGCTTACACTTCTCACCGTTAAGCTCACTGCTGCATCAGGCCCTGCCTCAGAAAGTCCCTGTTAAAATGCACACACGTGACCTACCAAGTGTACTAAATCATTTTCATGTCAGTGCAGAACAAGCAATAGACTCATAGACATTTCCAGGTGTCAGGCTCTCCGGCCATAGATGGGAGGAGCCTAGGAGATCTTCAGTGTTTCCATTTCCCACCCCTTTTCAGATGAGGAGACGGAGGGCCCAAGAGGTCCAGTGCCTTTTCCAAGATTAAGTAGGAGAAGTAGGACCACGTTTCTGGCCCACATTTAGCTACACTAAAGGGAGAGTCTTATCTTTTGCAATATTACTCTTGTTTTCCTTGTTCTTTCGTTCTCCTCCAATGCTTTGTAAGTTTTACATCTTGTTTTTATCTTTAAGTCAAAATCATTTCCATCTTTATTTCACTACAGGAAGAATGAAACAGTATCTAATTGTTTTCCTTGTGTTGATGAAAGCTTTAGCAGACTTTTACTTCCTCACACTACAAACCTTCTGATTTCGTCGCAGTGATCTGGATTTTTCAGTTCCGGATTATGATTACTGATTTCTTTCTTACATTATTCATTCAATAAATATTCATTGAGAACCTACTGTATGCACTATGCAAGGTACTAGGGAGGAATACAGCGATGCATTTAATAGACGGATTCCATAGCCTCAACATAGTCGCCATTTGCATTCAGCTTTATAGACATGTTAACTATAATTAGACAATGACTTTAAATTCTAGTGTTTTCTTTCTTCATGACCATTATTACTATCATAAACTTTTTTGGACTTGACTCTTTAATTTGATAAAATTTTTTGGTTCGCTAGACTACTTCTGGAGTAATTTTTTTTTCCAGAAAGGGTTCATGGAATACTTGTTGAGTCCTTACATATCTAGTGTGGTGGCAGGTGCAGAAGATAGACAGATCCATCCCAGGATCAACAGTCAGTTGTGCCTGGACTGTCAGCAGACAGAGCCTATCCATCTGCCTCCACAGACTTGGTCTGAACCTTGCTCCCTACCTGGTCTGGACCTTGCTCCCTACCTGGTCTGGATTTCTGGGCACCGACATGCAAATGATCCACTGGAACTGCATTCTGCCCATCCCCTCCCCGGCTGGTCTTCCACGCTGGAGGGAGCACTCAGCTCCTTTCTCTGGAGCCCCATTCTCTGGTTTGTTTTCTGAAGTCCCAGGTTGCCTGTGCCCTGTCATAACTTAGACCAGCCATGCCCAGGCTCCCACCCCTTCTGATCAGTTCTGCCCTCTGGCCTCCTACCATGTGCCTCTGAGAGCAGGACCCTAAGGGAGTTTTAACTGATGGGAAAGACCAGTGAGGTTTGGTAGGGAAGAAGGATGGCGTGTGTCCGGGGAGGCGGGCGTGGTGTACCTATATCTGTGTGTCTTGCTGTCTTCCTGGTGGGACTAAAAATGTAAAAACCTGAAAAAATGCTTTTTAAAATGGCAAGAGATTTTTTTTTTGTCCTTGCTCTTCCCCAAAGAAAAACAGGAAAAGTAACCTTTTCCAGACTATCACATCTCTAAATATAGCAAATTCTAATTTAATAAGCAAACTAAATTATACATGATGCATGTTTATTTCCCAAGCCTAAAAAAACAAGGAGCAAGAGAGAGGGAGGGAGGGGGAGAGAAGGAGGGAGAGTGTTTGGTTCCCTACAGGGCATCATAAAAATTAAAATTTGCATGTTTTATAATTTTTCCCCAAAATTTCTATCTCCCGTCCCAAAAGAATGTCTCATTTTTACCCACTCATGACTTCAAAATATCTGGGAATTCTGTCTCCAAGTGAGAATCTCCAGGTCAGTAGGAAATAATATAAAAATATCAAGAGGGTCTAGGGAGAGGATATCAGGGCTTCAGGAAAAATTAAGCCTTTCTTTGGTTATGATCTTGGTTTTTTAAATATTCAATTATTATTTAAAGTCAAGAACATAAAAGTACCGAATTTTCGTGTTCTTTCTATACGGTTGGTGTAATGTAGACACTCCTTCTCTCTTCCCTTCCTTTGCTGTGACCCTCTTTCCTGTTCTTCTACCTTGTTCTCTGGGTGTCAGTTCCTCAAACTTTATTGCTGTATTCTAAGTTTTATTAGTCTGCCCATTTCTCTCCCATAGGGCAAATGTGGTTAAAATGACCCAGTCAGGTGAGAGAAGGCAACCAACCTGGCTAGGCCCTGGGATTTCTTTTACTCCACCAAAGTGAAATCTAGACATTAAATAAAAAATGCAAGACACTCCCACCACCCCCCTGCCAGCGGTTCAACAACCTGCTCAGGAGGGACAGCATTAGACTAGGCCTCTCTATCTTTGCTGCGTCCTTTAGAAGAAGGTATCTCCCTAAAGAAATGTAGTTTTCCATTTAAAACAAGACTCCTTGGGTTGAGTCGGACTTTGGGCACTTATCTTGTACCTGGTAATAGGGACACAGGAACGAGACAGTTCTCCTTGCAAGAAGTTCAGAGTCTACAACATGGATGAATCTTGAGGACTTGATGCTAAGTGACATAAGCCAGTCATGAAAGGACAAATGCCTCGAGATTCCACTTATATGAGGTGCCTAGGGTAGTCAGATACATAGAGACAGAAAGTAGGATGGTGGTCGCCAGGGGCTGGGGGAGGGGTGGGGAGTTAGTGTTTAATGGGGACAGAGTTTCAGTTTTATAAGATGAAGAAAGTTTTGGGGATGGATGGTGGTGATGGTTGCACAACAATGTAAATGCAGCTAATGCCACTAAACTGTACACTTAAAAATGGTTAGAATGGTAAATTTCATATTATATATATTTTATCACAATTAAAAATTAAGAAAAAGAAGTTCACAGTCTAATAAGAGTTTTCCATAGGCTAATAGTCTTATAGTTAGAAAGTCAATTAGAAGTCACTTAGCCTGATGTTTCAAAACTTTTCTCTTACTGGGACCCACAACAAAGAAATACATTTTGTATCATGATCCAATATGTATATGTCATGATACTGACATACATATATAGATACATATATATGGTCACTGATACACACACATAACTGAAATATAAACCTAAATATATTTATATCTGTTTATAAATATACTATATATAAATATAAAATGTAATATATTTATATCTATTTATAAACATATTTATATTTATTTATAAATATACATAAGTAAAAACAAGAAACATTATTTACTCTATTATATGGGATGGTGTCTTACTTTTTTTTCTGCTCTGTTTTATTAAAAAAATTACAATCCACAAAATTGATTTCAGAATCCACTAATGAGTCTCAATGTATAGTTTGAAAAACACTAATCTAGACCAATCTCCAATGCAATGCAGAAATCTCCTCTATGGCCACCAGCTGGGTAGTCATCCAACTTCTGCTTGAATGTTTCTGTGATGGGGAACTCACTCCCTACATTGCTCTATGGTGGATCCATCTAGCAGCTGAAGATCCTCACGCTCTCCAAACCCATTCCAGAAACCCTGAGACCTGCTTACAGATGCTCAGGCACTGGTGGTGATAAATGGACTTCCAGGAGGAGTGAAAGCACAGTTCCTAGCAGCAAGCCAGGGGTTTGGGGCGAGCTTGGGGGTGGCCAGCCCCACAGGACAGAGCAGGGTCTCTGAGAGACGCCAGCTCCCTTCCATGGAGCCGCCGCTGAGAGCTTTCCCCGCCGCCTCCTCACTGCTCACTCCCGCACAGTGGTTGTTTCCTCCTCTGACAGATGATCTCATTCCGCCTGGCACCCTGACTCCCTGCCTGTGGAGAGGTTTCCTCCCCGTGGAGGGGGCCTCAGCCCCAGCAGAGACAGATTCCCCCACATTCCCTCCTACCGCCCACTGCCCCGCAGGGCTCCGGCACCACCACTGGCGCCCTCCTACTATTCTCTTGGCCTCGAGACACAGGGTTCTCCCTGCCCAGGGTATTTGGAAACAGGCTGCCTGAATCTTTCGGAGCCTCCCTGGGGTTCTGGAGACCTGCCCTTTTTCAGGACAATGGGACCCCTCCACACCTGACTGTGTCTTCCTGGGAGGAATAAAACAAAGACAGCACCGCCACACGGGGACACAACTGGCCACTGGCCGTCAAACCCCTGGGTCCAGGGGATGAGGAAAGGACAATGCCTAAACTCCTGGGAGGATGGTGGGCTGAGCAAGGAGGGGCCTCGCTCGGCCACAGGCAGGGACCAGGGCGTGGCAGTGTGGCTCCTGCAGTTTGCAGCCTTGCTGCCTCCCGAGCCGCCCAGGTAGGATCAGGTTGACCTCAGGGCGGGGCGGGGCGAGGAAGAGGCGGTGATCTCATTCCATCCTTAGCAGCAAGAGAAAAAAGTGACCCAGTACAGGTAGAGGAGAAGGAAAAGGATGATACAAATGGGAAACGGAGCTGAGAACAGCTGTGGCCGAGAAGGGAAATGTCAAACCCAGAGCAGCTGCTAGCTTGAAAGGGGGCTGGAGGTCAGAACCGGCTCCAGGGGAAGCCGGACTCAGAACAAATCCGTTCTCCCTCAGCAACAAAACATTTTTATGCAGAAAGAACTCACCATGGACATCTGACCCAAGAGACCCTGGCAGGTCCACCCGCCCTCTGTCTCCTGAGCTCAGGAATCGAAGGAGCGTCTGCAGCCCCCTCGCCCCTCTGCTGAGCACCATTCTTCGCCTCACCCCATTTCCCCCAGGATTTGGCAAAGTTTAATCCACTGAGTGAAGCCAATGGTGACACAATAGATTCCAGACCCCTCACTTCTCCTCTCTGCAGCTGCTGTTTGGGTTTTGTTTGTCTTTTGTCTGAAAAGCTTCAAATAATTTGCATTTCATTTCTACTTACCTGCAGTCCAGTTAGAAGCGAGCTGTTCGCCTCCTCACTCCCTCAATTAGTGGTACCCTGGGCTTCTCTCTCATCAGCACCACTGCTCTGCTCTCGGCATGACATCATCTCCAAGCACCGTGATTGGCCAACGGTGGGTTGCCTGGCAATTGGACAGTCTCCTCTGGTGGAGCAGGGATTGCCTGAGTGAGTAACTCTTAGCAGGCCAGGGAGTGGAAGATGATGTCAGACAAACAGCCTGCTTTCCATGCTGCCTGTGGAGCTGGGGAACCAGAGGGTGAGGGTGGGGAAGAAGAAAGAAAGAGGGAGCGGTACAGGAGGGTGGGGGTGTAGGCACAGCTGCAGCTGAGCCGCCCAGCGAGAGGGAGCACCTGGAGAGGGGGATGATGAACGATTTCCAGAGACTTTAGCTTTTTCAGATCTGGGGGTGGGAGAATATGGAATCTAGAGAAGAAATCAGAAAGAACAGATGAATCCTAAAAATAGCTTCCCGGAGGGCTTGGTGTCTATTTGCAGCTCTGTCGGAAGGGCTGGTGGGTTTGAACAGTGACTGGGAAGGCAAGGAGGGGCTGCAGGCACCCTAGCCCCGGAGCTGGGGAGGGTGTCCCACAGGGGTCCCAGGAGAGCAGGGCTTCCCTCTCACCACCTTAGTGTGATGTTGGCCACACCACTGCTGTGGCAACTTGACCAGCACTGGTGGGTCCTCATAGCCCATCCAGCCCATCTGGGCCTTCCAGAGGGAGGAAGACCATGGCTGAAGCTGAGGGTCATCACTAGCCTGTGATTCCTACACGAGGCAGAACCCTGGGGAGAGGATAGGTCATCGTGGCAGCTTCTCTAGTTCCTCAGGGAATGGGGGCAGAGAGTCCCTTGTGAAAACCCCTCGGCCTGCCCACCCTCAGCCAGTCGGCTGGAGGTGGCAGAATGAGGCACAAGGCAGCCTGTGGAGCGAGCCCCCCTTCTCCAGAACTCTTCTCCTGATCAAAGCTTCTGGGGGTGTGTTCTCCACCCCATTTTAAAACTGGTTAAAAATGTATGCTTAAAGTATACAGTTCGGTGGCGTGAAGTACATTCACAACGATGTGCTACCATCCCCACCATCCACCTCCAGAACTTTACCTTCGCAAACTGAAACCCCTCACCCATTAAACACTGACTCCCCCCCCCCCCCCCCCAACACCCGGTCACCTCTGTTCTACTTCTGGTCTTGATGAATTTGCCTGTTCTAGCAAATTCATTACCTCGTGTATTACCTCATGGAAGTGGAATCATACAAAATTTGTCCTTTTGTTTCTGGCTTATTTGACTTAGCAGATCGTCCTCAAGATTCATCCACGTTGTAGCACATGTCGGAATTTCATCACCTCACCCTTTAAAGGCGGGTTTGTTCAACCACAGTCAATTCCGTGGACCCTCAGCCTCTGCCGCCACCCCCTGCTGACTGAGAACCCACATAGAGACAAAAAGTTACCTTGAATTCAGCCCATGCTTTTAAATTATGGTTTTAAACTACAAGAGCACCAAAGAGCATTTGCACATGGCAGTTTGTGCGTGTATAAGATGTGTCAGGGGATCATTCTGCTGGCGTGCTGGGTGGAAGCAGCTTCTCAGGCCCTGACACTCACCCCTGGCCTGTGCCTCAGAGCTGGGACCCACTGGTTGGCACCTCACTGCCCAGTGCCCCATGCTGTTCACCAGGGGGTCCCAGATAGACATGTATCTCCAGACCCCCACTTCACAGCAGGAGGGGAGAGCACCCGTTAGGTTGCCCCTCTGGCCAACCATGCTGGGATGGCCAGAATAATGAGTGACCCTCAGCAGTGTGGGGAGTTCTCAAAGCTCACCCACACTGGTCCTGTCGTGCAATCTCCCAGAAGGGCTGCAAGGCAGCAGGATGAGAACCAGTCTTCCGTTTGAACAACACGCTTATCATGCACGCCACATGCCACTAACCCAGGACCCTCAGGACCCCCAGTGGACCATTTCAGAGGGATCAGGAGAGCGTAAGGATAGTGAAATGGTTTCCTCAACGTGTGGAGACAAAAGAGGCCACACTGCACACCCGGCTGGAACCAGGAATCCGAGCAAACCTGAACTGCGTGGCTGCCTCTGCAGGCAGGGGCCTCTCTCCCCTCCCCCAGTCACTCTCTCCTCTTCCCTCCCAGCCCTGAGAAGTCTGGGACTCCACAAATCTGCAGGCTCTGGCAAGTGAGGGGAGGCGGGGAGGAGACAGTGAGTTGCCATGGTGATGGGAGGCAATGAGAGCTCCTCTGCTGCTAGGGGAGGGGAGCCCGTCTGAGTCCCCCTAACTGACTGATAGGAGGGTGGGGCTGGGACAAAATTGCATGGGAGGGAGGAACAGGACATCACGGCCTGAGAGCAGAGATCAAGGTTGGGAGACAGAGTATGGGGAGGGCTGCCCCATTTTTAGAATTTCTAGCTACCATTTGAGTACTACGCTGTGAGGGCTGCATATATACACATTCCCAAGGTATATATATACGATATGAATATATATGTTCACGATGTTGTGCTGCCATCCCACCATCCATCTCCAGAATTTTTCATCTTCCCAAACTGAAACTCCGTTCCCATTAAACACTAACTCCCCCTTCCCTCTCCCCACACCCCCTGGGGAAGATACAATCTATAAATCTCACAACAGTCCTATGAGAAAGAGATTGAGGAGCCCATTTATGAAAGAACGAGAGTCAGATGGGAAAGGTGACCTGCTGACAGCCTAGCTGTTAAGTGGTGAGGCTTAGATTTGGCCTTTTCTGGGGAAGGGAGATAGTACCAAGGAGAGGGAGAGTGGGTGGAGCCACTGCCCTGGGGTCTCCATGAATGGGAGAGTCCCAGGGCTTCCCTGAGGGGCCATAAAGCAAAACGGTGATGGGAGAAAGAAAGAGACACGGGTTTTGTAGGAAAATGTGCCAAGTATCAGGTCCAAAGGATAAAGGGTGAGGAGAGACCAAAACCAGGAGAGAAATCAGCAAGGTCAGAGCTGGGAGCTTCCGAGGGTGGGGTCTCCATCAGGGAACAGAGGGAGGGGAGGGCGGATGGGTAGCGTGTTCCTCACACCTCAAAGTCCAAAGCCACCATGAGCTTCGCTGAGAAAGGTGGGCAAGCAGAGGCTGTCCCTGGGCCTGCTGAGTCGGCATGGCTGAGCCAGCCGATTGGGATCAAGCCGTCTAAATGCAGCAGCTGGACGTTAGTCAAAGGAGCGGAGGTCACTCTGCTGATGCCCCCTTTCACAATTCAGGCTGCACTGTGGTAGTGACACTTGACGGGGCTCTTGTGGCCATTCCCAGAATCTCCAGGCGCTGCCTGGCTGCACCGTGGGGAGTCCATTCATTGACCTCTTCCAAGGGTGGGAACATGACTGTCTGCGTGGGGGAATGGGGATTCCGCATGGTCCTGTTGACTTCGGCATGTGGAAAGAAGCAGCAGCGTCGATGCCTGATCATCCAGAAGCCAGACATCCGAGGGTAATCCCTGCTCAATGACTCCACGTGGCAATAAGTCACACTCGCAGCCTCCGGGGCACAGAGGACAGTGCCCAGTCCCCAAAGGGGCCTTGGCCGTCGCAGAGGCAGTTCCACTGTAGGGCAAACTGCACGGTCACCTTGGGGACCCTCAACAAAGCCCTGTTCGCTTTCCCAACCTCAGGAAATGGCCTCACGCAGGAATTCAGAGTAGCTGATCACCGCCCGCAATCTGCTTCACTCGCGCGCCGATGCGGTTTCTAAACCACAGAAAGTAAATGAGCATTTATTTTCTGCCTCTTCTTTAGGAGGAGACTAAGGTTTGGGGGACTTTTTTCTGTAGAATGTGTTGAACTAAATCGTGTCAGATGTTTACTTAAATAAAAACGGGCACTATGCAATTTTTTACAATGTAACTCTTAGTTCTCTTGAAGAGTGGCTATGGTGACTTGTGCACTTTGTGACACCGGTGGCTTAGATTTTTTCAGTCAATTGAAATACAAATAAACTCAGCCAACCTGAATTTAGGCAATGCTGCATTGCCAGAGCTGTTTGTTTATGCTGACAATTATTTGTAAATTAAATTGTAATGGCAGTTAATGTTTAGAACAAGAACATTTGATGTTTACAAAAACGACATGTAGGGGCCGGCCTAGCGGTGTAGTGGTTAAGTTCGCATGCTCTGCTTCAATGGCCTGGGGTTTGCAAGTTCAGACCCTGGGTGTGGACCTATACACCACTCATCAAGCCATGCTGAGGCGGCGTCCCACGTACGAAATAGAGGAAGGTTGGCACAGATGTTAGCTAGGGTCACTCTTCCTCATCGAGAAAAAACCATGTATCAAGTGAACTGAAACTTGTAAGTCACTTAGAACAGTGTCTGACACAAATATGTGCTCAATAAATGTTAGCTATTGTTATGAGTGTCATTAAATCCAAAACTAGACTACCCAGGGGTTTGCAAGGAACAGCAGCCCATTTCAAACTTGTTAACAAAACGAGGATTTATATCAAAACTTGACAGCAAACACACACACACACACACACCAATTTGAAAACAGGCAAAAGATATGAAGAGGCATTTCAGCAATGAGAATATACAGACAACACATATACACATGAAAAAATGTTCAACGTTACCAGCAATAAGGGAAATGCAACTTAAGAATGCAATGAAATATCAGTATCTACCTATAAGAACAGGTAAAATTAAAAAATGCCTATATCAAATGCTGAGGATGCAGGGAAACTGGAACTCTCATACAGAGCTGGTGTGACATAAAATGGTACAGGCACTCCAGAAAGTAGTCTATCAGTTTCTTAAAAAAAACCCATACACTCACCACACAACCTAGTAATTGCACTCCTCAGCAGGTTCCCAGAGACGTGAAAACAGCTCCACACAAACACCCGTACACAAAGGCTCCTGGCAGCTTTATTTGTAATAGCCCCAAACCAGAAACAACAAGAATGTCCCTCGATAGGCGAATGATGAAACAAACCGTGGTCCATCCATACCGTGGAAGACTAGTCAGCAGCCACAGTGAATGAACAACTGATACACACAACAACTTGGATGCATCCCAAGGGAATTATGCTGAGTAAAAATGTCAGTCTCAAAAGG